GGGGACAAGAAATGGAAAGGTTATGCTTTAATAGTGATGTGTTTGTGTGTCAAGTTGGCAAAGGGCCAATTGTGCTGGATAGCTTCAGTTGTCAACTTGACACACCTGGGAAGAGGGGACCTCAATTGTGAAATTTCCTTTTATCAGATTGACCTCTGACCATGTCTGTGAGGCATTTTCTTGATTGTTAAGTAGTGTGGAAGGGCCCAGCCCACTGTGGATGATGCTACCCCTGGGCAGATGGTCCTGGGTTGTATAAGACAGCAGGCTGAGCACAGGCCAGAGGAATAAACCAGTAAGCAGTGTTCCTCCATGGTCTCTGTTAGCCTCTGCCTTTAGGTTCCTGCCTTGAGTTCCTATCCTGGCTTCCCTCTATGATGAATCAGGATGTATAAGCCAAATAAACACTTTCCTTCCCAAATTGGTTTTGTTCAGCTTAGTTTATCACAGCAATAGAGCAGTGAACTGTGGCTTTTCCTGAAAGGCACACAGACTTTCTGGGAGTGGAAATGCCATTCCAGTGTCAATGGTTCCCTGTATCACCTCCATTGTATTGGCTCATGCCATTATGATCCTGGGGGTGCATGCCATCCAGATTGGTTCCCTGTGGTTCTAGTATATGCTCCTTGGATACACCAGAGTTCACAAAATCACAGCAGAACAGATGGCTGGAGTCAGGAGTCTCCTGCAGTCTGCAGAGGCCATTGTTCAAACCACCATCAGTGGAACAGTATTGCCGATGGCTCATACCCAATCTACTTTCTCTGTGGGATAGATGATGCCCACTGTGACTTTCAAAGATGGCTAATGTAGGTGACTTAGCTGACTGGGGTGTTGAGAAATTTAGCCAACTTAGCCAAGGAGGAACAAAGTCATGCTGTGCTGTTAGGTCCAGAGCCTCTTTTCAGCAAGATGAGGCATCTATCTACCTCATGGCTAGGATCCCAGTCACCTCTGTGGTCCTGTTTCTTGAATTTGGAGTCTGTGAGCTGGACTTTACATGAGATTTTCTTGTTAAAAGAGTGCTTAAATACCTGACTGGCAGCACACCATTGATGCAGCATAAAGAAGCCAGGCTTCCCATCCCCTTCAGCTCCTTGTCCTAAACTACCTAGTTTCTGACAGAGTTTCAAAAGGAGAAAATTTGGGAAGGGAAACATAAAAATATTTATTACACTTAAAAGGGAGTGGGCTACATTTATTTTCACATTATTCAACTTCCTTAAGCAATGGCACCATAATGTTTAAATAAATAACACATGCATACAAATACTGCCCATAATAAAGTCATAGCTAGAAACACAGATTAGGTGTGGGCAAGAAAGTCATCATCTGAGTCAAAGATCAAAAACATAATGGTATAGCAAGGGGCTGGAAAGATAGCTCAGCAGTTAAGAGCATTGGCTACTCTTGCAGAGGACTCAGATTCTGTTCCCAGCACCCACATGGTGGTAGCTAACAACTCTCCTTAACTCCAGTTCTAGGAGATCCAATCTTCTGGCCTCCGTGGGGCATTGCATGCATATGGTACACTTACATACATGCCTACAAAGCACTCATAACATGTAAAATAAAAATGAACAAATCAAAAAGTTTTAAACCATACAGCACTGTGAAAGATCTTCTAAGAAGTCAACTCCAGTAGAGAAATGTCCACAGAACGAAGCCTTTGAAACAACTCTCATTGTTCTTACACAATTACTAAAGACAGTGCAAAGTGTGTGTCTTAAACGTCAAAATCTAAGGATATAAGGAATCTTGTTTCAAAAAAAATTAGGAACTTGTTTCTTAGCATAAAGCTGCTTTTTAGCATAAAGCTGCTTTACTATTTACAAATTCGGAGCAAAATTAGAGAAGACAGGAGCGAAGGAGAAAGGAAAATCCAAAGTGCTGTTTCATTCTCGTTAGTTCTCTACATTTCAAACTTGCTCTTCTCCAAGTCTGAACTGGTTACTTTTTAACTTGGATCCATCTCCATCATTAATCATTTAAGAGGCCACTGGAATAGACCAACCAATCTCTCTTGTCCCTTTCATATGCATGCACTCATCCTTTTCACGTGCGTGCTGTCGTACTCTCCACGATTTATTTGTTGACAGTAGAAGCTGCAGTTTGGCCAGTGCTGCTAGGAAAGCCGTCTGAATAGTGAGGACACAGGCCAGGCACAGCTAAGCTGGAATCTGACTTGCTCTCTCTCTTGCTGACTGTGAACCAGCCTGGGAGACTCAGCTTTTTCTTATTCATTTGCATCATTCATTAGAAGTGGTGGCAGTGACTAAGATTGGTTTCCTGCGAAAGAACTCTCAGGAAGTTTGACCGCCCACACTTCAGTCATACAGGACTGCTACTGCTAGACCCAGGGGTATAAACCTGGGATTTCTCCACTGCTGTCTTTTACCCATTTCTCTCTGGGTGCTGGGTTCATCCTTTAGGTTGTATCTAGGTTTTATGTCTTCTGTTTTCAGTCACCAGGAAAAGAATCAAAATCCTGGGTGTTAAGTTCATGTTATGCTGCTCTAATGGGCCTTCTTGTTATAGCCTCCAACCATGAAAGACAACTCAGGGATGAGAGTAAAAGAGCAAAAAACATTTTTTTTGGGGGGGGGAGTATGTATGTGTTAGGAATACCTGTGTGCACATGGGTGTGGAGACAGGTCAACCTTGGGTGCCATTCTTCAGGAACTGTCATTTTTTGAGACAGGGTCTCTCATGGGCCTGGGGCTTTCTGATAGGCCAGGGAACCCCAGATACCGGCCTATCTCTGTCTCCCCAGAGCTGGGATTACAACATACACCACACTTGGCTTACAGCACATTATTTTCAGAACCCATTTCTGACACAGGAAGCCTATCTCACAATAATGGAACTAATGAATTCATGAGGGCAGAGCACTATTACCTAACCACTTCTTTGAAGTCCCACCTCTTAACACCCTTGCACTGTGTATTAGTTCCCAGCATTTATGCTTTGGGGGGAACCGTTCAAACTATAGCACTGGGGAAGACTTAATGGTAGATGGTAAAGTGGCTGTTGCTGAGCTGGGCCAGCAGCATGATAAGGACTTCGAAAGCTTCATGTGTCCAAGGCAGTGGTGGTTCCTAGGAGCATGTGGTGTTAGGTGGGAATCTAATAGCTGTCCACTGTAAATATCTTCCTTATCCAGTCATGGATAACAGTTTTGTGCTAACATATGTGGTCCGTTGGATCGTCTGTCTCTCTTCAGTACCTATAGCATGGAAATTATATTCATTGATACTGAACAATCAGCCGGAGCAAAACAGATAAGCAGTCTTGCTGTGATGGGCACACACAGTTGCCACTTCATCAACACTGGTGCAGTGTGAATGTAGAGAAGGTGACAGTTTGGTGAGCAGCCCTGCTGTAGTATGTCCCCATGCTCAAGGAGTGCCAGTTTCTAAGAAAACTGCCTACCATTGTACCATCCTCTGAGACCCAGACTTAACTGGAATGTTTGTTTGCTAGCTGATTTCCTGTAGAAGGTGGAAGATTAGGGATCGTTGCTGCCATATCTCTGACTCACCCAGAAGAAGTGGACAGCTCCCAGCTTCTGGCCAGGATGTGGTCTCTGAGGCTGTACCAGTTGTGGTGAAGTTCAAATGATGTATGGTCCTCATGCTTCTTTCCCAGTAGCCTCCTCAGAATTCCTGCCCTGTTGGCATTTTTCCCATTTACAAATCTATACAAACTTCCCAGTTTCTTGATAGGAAGTCTGTGAAGCACTGGGTTTCTACAATGTGTAGAAAGACAACTCAGGTTGAAGTGGGGTTGGGGCAAAGATGCAGTCTTGAAGCAGAACATCATGGCCATAAATAGCTGTTCTAGATTTGGTAGATGCAGACCCCAAACAGAGGCCCTGCAGTCCCTGCTCAGGCTAATGGTCCTGGGTCTGAGTGTTGCACATGGGGTGAGATGAAATATCTGTTACTGCTTCTACTTGATTTTTTTTCTTTTGAGACAAGGTCTCATGTAGCTCAGGCTGGTTTCAAACTCACTGTGTAGGAACTTCTGATCCTCCTGTTTCCATCTCCCGAGTTCTGGCATAAGAGGCATGCACCATCACACTGTTTTTATGCAACGCTGGGAACTGAACCCGGGTGTCTTGTCCAGTTGGCAAGCACTCTGCCAGCTGAGCAGCATCCCTAGCCTTCACTTGTATTCCTCACAGAGCTGCCCTTTCACTCATGGAAGGGTGGATATATAGGGAAAACACGGCCCAAATCTAGCAGAGGGGAATCCTGACAGCCACTTCACTCCCGGGGAGGTGGGGGGCTGATTTCCCAAGAGACAGCTGAAGTGGGAAGAGTCAATCCTGTGGTTTTTAGAAGTTGGACCAAGGAACTAAGGCATCCTCTGTCTCTGGAGCCATGACCCAAGGGAAGCCCCACCTCTACCCTCACTCCAACCTTATCATAGCAAGTTTGCTTTTGCAGTAACAAGTTTTAGTTTATGGGGGGAAGACTTACTATTCTGAGGTGTGTGTGTGTGTGTGTGTGTGTATATATCCAGCCCCCATCCATGACACAGCTATTCATAAAGACCCCCTAGAGCTATAATCAGTACCGAACCCTATTTTTCTCAAATATGTAAATTTTAATTTATGAATTTAGTAAGATTCTAAGAGTAACTATTAAAACAGACTGTTACAACAAAACTTTTTAATAAAAGTTAGTGAATGTGGTCTCTCAAAATAGCCAGCAACATTTAGTACTTTTGGACTGGGACTGATGAAAATTAATGGGAAATCACAAAAACTAAAATCTTGGGTGAGGGAACCACTGGATATGTGTGTGTGTGTGTGTGTGATATACACATGTATGAACTCTTCTCCAGATCTTACACATACACATGCATGTTATATACACATATTTATATTCATGCATATTCACAATATATGATTGTTATGGTCAGTTTCAGCAATGAAACTGTCATTTCTTTGCTTCATGAGTCAACCTTAGGATCAGATGGAAAATCCAAAGATGGTTGGTACAAATTCAGAATTTTAATGGCTGTTAAATAATAAAATGAAGAGTTTTGCACTATATACATTCTGTGTACTTATGGTACTGTCAGCTGGCCATGCACATTTATTGCACATATAAACAGTGTACAAGGATCTTAAAGACATCTTAACCATACAAGAATTGTATTTAAAAAAAGTATTTTACAAAATATTGAAACCATTTGTATTATACAGCCAATTTCAAGAAAATACTGAAAATATCAAAAGAAATATTTTAACTTTGAAAAAAACTCTCCAAAAATAATGATTACTGAGCTTCATGTTGCCAAATATACATGTAAAAATATATTTCAGGACCCTGCATTGCAAATATCCATGAAGGGGCAGCAGTCTAAATTCCTATTTAGACAATCAACCCTTCAATGTTGCTTAAGTTGTATACATTCTCTTCAAAAATCCTTTTCTCTTTACATTGTTAGGCTATTTGACAAAACAGATATCTGGGCAGTACAGAAAAGTATTAAAATATATTCAAGTTATGTTAAAGTGCACAGTACATTTGATAGAATTACTAGCTGCTGATCTAAATTTCCATGTTTGGACCCCCTCCATCTTCCCCTCCTGGGGGGTGGACGGCAGCCCCGGTGGTTATTAATCTGCGTTGACTGCACACTTTCCTCCTGATGTCTTTTGGTTCGTCTTAGCATTTACACATTGTGGCTACAGCTGCTCTAGAAACTACGAATGGCTTTGTACAGAGGTCAAGCTGCAGCCAGCACTCAATAGGCCTTTCGAGATGAAGGACTGGGGTACCTTACCTGCAGCGTAGTGTAGTGTGCGTGCCTGTGACTGCCTTGTATAGCCTTTTCTAGTAAAGCCTTCTGTGAACCTGTCCCACTGACAGGAGCCCTCTCCTGGGCTGGCTCCTTCCCCAGTCCAGCACGGCCCTTGCTCCCTCCCTGCTGCCCGCACTCTTCACTTACTTGACCTTCTTTCCACCTGCATGGAGCTGCCTGCCTGCTTTCACACCAGAGACCACGGATACTGGAGTATTTTCTGGAATCCTGAAAAATCTCTAGCCTGATTATAATAAAATAAGCACATCTACATTTCAGAATCCTCTCCTCTTTTAAAACTGGCACTTTTAAGAAGTGCTGGTTTCCTGTCCCACGTCCTTAAGTAATTTTTGATCATCCAGTGGAAGCCTTCTTTCAAAAGCCTCTTGGCTAGACAGTAATCTTTCACCACCTCATTTTCTCAATGTCTGCCTCTGGTTCTAGGCTCTTTAATTACCCAAAATACAGTGCAGAATTAGACTTCAAGACACACGATGCTGAACACTTCCTACTTTTTGTGTGTTAAAATGTGGATGTTCTGTGCATAGCAAAAGAAGTATGAATCCAAAAAGTAATTGTTCACATTCTATCTTCAAGTTTAATATGTCTTTTTTTCCCATCATAGCTATTTACATAGAACTTTGGGGTGCTCTCTTGATTTCAGTCAGTTCATTATATTGGGGGACAAGAGGGCTGCTGGAATGCAGAAAAAATATAAATAAGAATGATGTTCCACAAACCGAAAGGTAAGTAACACTCCCCAGAAAATAGCTCTTTGTCACAGAAGCACCTGTTTCTTGCCAGATTTTTCTTTTCTGAGTCATATACACCAGGAGATATGATTACTGAGACTTAGAACTACTGCACGCCAGAGGCTAGGAAATAACTCAATATTTATAATATTAAAATAAATTGTTTAACCACAAAAAAGCAGTAATAAAATAGTTTCCTAATTTACAATTTGCATCCAAAGGATGAATAACAACTCACTAATAAATAATATTTATATAAATATTTTGTATGTTGAAAATAGCTTTTCAAAAAGGCAATGAATGGTCTCAAGAAACATCTTGAAAAATTTGGTGGTGAAAAACCTGATTGTATCCCCTTTCCCCCCACTGAATCTGCAAGGACTTTGGTTTTAATAAAACGGATGCAACTTGCTGTGAAACGGTTGTGCTTGGTGTTTGGTGATGGCAGTTGGTGAGTGTGGAAGGGATGATGGAGGTTGAAAAGGCAAAGATGTGCTACTTAGTTCTTCACCAGCTCCCTCACTGGCTTAGAGACAAAAACACCTGAACAGCCCTCATTGTGGAGGTCAGCTCGGAAAGGATGAAAATCCTCCCTTAGCCTGAAACCTTGTCAATGTGATTGGTCAGCGAACTGCCAGGTGGTGAGTGGGGGAGGGGAAAAGGTGCCAGGAGTAGAGTCCAGCATCCCTGATCTGGGAAGAGGCTGAGCACGCCCCCCCCCCCCCCGCAGGAGGG